GCAGGGTAGGACATAAAACAATTGTGTTAAAGTAACTAAATATGATTAAGCAAACGCCAAAAACGGTTGCATTATTTTTTTCATTGTATCTTTGTTAGGAAATAACTAATTATTAATGTTAATCAGTTTCATTAAGCAAATATTAACATAAAGTAGTAAGTTAAGCAAGCTAACTGCTAGCATATGTAGATTAACCTGACTCCGCCAGATGGATTTGCTCCGCATATCCATCTGGAAACCTTCCGTTGAAGTAATTTTGGGAAGGGGTGAAAATACTGGTTAGCTGATTGGCCTATGTTGGTGATAGACGGGCCAAATAAACCAATCAGATCAACGAAGCATATGACATACTAACAGACTGATGACGAAAACACAACCATAAGCCAGGCTACTATTGCCGAAACCAATTGGGAGAAGAGCAAAAACATCTTTTCCTCTGAGAAAAGCCTCCAGAGCAGTGTTTTGCTCTTCTTTCATTGAAGAACTACTCTGTAATTCCGATAAAACTTGCTCGATAGCCACGCTAACGCTAGTTTCATCGGCTGAAGCCGCCATGTTCTTTAGACTGAACTGTCGCGCTTCTCGTTGCGTCACACCTCAACCTTCCTCAAAGCCAACGCTGATTGGACGTTCGTTTGGTGAACGGCTCCAAATTTTCTTTAACGGAGAGTCTCCAGACTGTTCTGCGAGTGAAACCTTGAAAGCTCGCGGGATCAGGATGGTCTCACGAGGCTATATGTAGATTGTCTAACCTTACAAAAAAAATAGACTATAGACTTTCCTTCATAAAGCAACGTGATGATTATTAGTAATTAACCCCCACCAGACGTCATTTAGACATTTATAGCTTTTTTAGGGCTAAATCTAGTCGGACCATCATTGCTTTGATTTAGTCCTGAAATAGTTGTTGAAAATAGGCCTGTGTTTAGTTGGTCTGATTTTGTCCCACTTTAGTCCAATAATTGGTGTTGTTTTCAACGATCTGAAAATGATGGCATTTCACCAAATGTAGACATCATTTGAATGTAAATCATGTCATCTTTTCAAAGTCTTTTACACTAATTTTTGCTCTGTTGGAAAGGTGATAGCCACATACTTAACTTCTCCTGTCCAGTAGTGCACCTGTGCTCACCTGTTCTCTTTCCTTACTATTTGCCATTTGGTTGCCAGGTCCACTAATGCTAATTACCGCTAGTTAACATTGCAAAAAGGAAGTTTCTGCCTTGACTCCAGTGACCCTACAAAATAAAAGCCTCTATATTATACACGCGTATTAATTGATGCAAATGGATCAGCATTATGACCCAAACTCTACCAGTTTGTTTCTATTAGACTCTAGGGACCTTTTCAAAACATACCCCGGAGTGAAGTTCACAATAAAAGTCTCCCATTTACGCTCTAATACAGCATCTATTCACCCAATGACATGGAAACTGCCTGACTTTTGAGTCCCTTTCCCTCCTTAAGTTGGCACCAACACTTAAAAGCATGACATATTTTTACCTTATTTTTGCCTGTTTTGTTTAGGTTTGAATCTAAGAAATAAAACAGGGAAGAAGCTGTTTCTCAGCTCTATCACAGAGCAACAAGGATCTGGCAACATCTGAGCTCCGTCTCAGATGACTGTAACCTACTATTCTGATTGGTTCAGAATGATTTCGTGTTGATGTTGGTGTCATCACCAGAAGATTATACTTATATATTTTGGATCTGTCAAATTCAATACACTTTTTTTCTTTACCTGTTTAGATAGTATTTGGACTTTTTTTTATTTTTTATAAACCAATGGTTTTGAGGAAAACTCTGTAGGTATGACCCTTAAGGATCTCAAAATAAGAGACTAAAGACTATAGATCCTGGTCAGTATTAATGAAAGTTTGGACTAATACAGAATAAGAAAAGATAAAAACTTCATTTTCCAGCAGGACAATGCTGCTGTTGCAGATTTAATGGAATGGCTCAGACCAAGGAGCATTTACTCTTAAACCAAACATTAAAAATATGTTTGCAAGACTTGAAAACTGATATTTATAGGCTCTCCTAACTCAGTCTAATCAAGCTTGAGCTTTTATTTTACCTTTTTAAGCACCAAACTGGTAGACATACATTAAAAGACTTGCAGCTGTACATATTAAAAAAAAAAATCTGAAAACTATTGAATAGAGGTGTTGCCACATGTTACGGATATATTTATGCAAAAAAGAAAAAAAACTCATTTAAAATAGGTCAAAATGTGCCACGCATTGATGTTAACATGTTATGGTTCTTTTATATTCTTTTGGACTTTGAGTTTTGAGTTATTTAGGTCATTCTGTTTGGTTGATATTTCGTTTATTTTCTGTTTTTTCTTATTGTCAAGCAGTATTGATTTACTCTTTGTTGCCCCACTGTGCCTTTGCCCTAACTCCCTTCTAGTTACTTCTATCCACACCTGCTCCATATCAGCTGATTAGCCCAGTTTTTGTTCTGTCTCCCATATATACTCCCCTTGTGCAGTTCTTCAGTGCTAGTTTATGTTGTTACTTGGCTCCCCATATTTTTTTCCTAGCTTTTTGGTTTGATTCTTGGATTTTTTTTATTTTTATCTTTTTGATATTATTAAACCTGCCAGAACTCATCTCTGTCTCCCTCGTCTCTGCATTTGGGTCCTCAACCTACCTCCACCCCCACATTGACAAAACAACAATTTTAAAGCACTGTCCAAAATGTTTAGTTTTAGATCTGGACTTTAAGGAGGCCTTTTCTTATATTCTCTGATCTAAAAAAGTAATTATATCGCTCCATGATAAATAGTAGATAATTTCTTTATTATATATTTTTGTTTATAATCGGATCCATTTTCACATGAGCTCAGCTCCCTTTTAGTTTCTATTCTCCTGCATACTGCCAATAAAATTTTTCACTGAAGGGAGTGTGTATTTACAGTGATTTACACGATTATTCTATTGCTACATGTAGCTTTCTGCATGGAGGCCAAAAGGTTTAGTCCTTATCTCATTATAAGACAGGTCCCTCATTTACATGATTTATCAGATCGATGTTGAAATAGATTTTGAGTAGGCTGAAGGGGGCTGAATACAAACATGCGCAATCCTTTCAGATTTTACATTTTTAAATAAATATTGTTTTTTGTCTAAAGAGTGTAAATAATTTTGTCTAGATCTTTTTTTAAGGAGTTTATCCCATTTAGTATTAGCTGTTGTTGTGAACTGAAAGTTAATGTTAACTGGATTCTAATCTTTACATGCATTAATGTGACATTTAAACTGCACTTGGTTGCGGGTCCAGCCTCAAATCCTCATTCTATGAATGAAACAAAGTTGGACATATTGAAAAGAAATCATTCCGGTTGCCATGTTTTATACTAAAAATCAACTATAGAAAAACCTGCTTTAGAAAAAAAAAGATTTAAAAGACCCTGTTATTCCATTGTATTCATCTGTAATTTATTTTAGCAATTGCTAATCTCCAAGGATAACTTCTTTTGCATCAGCAGCATGTTTACATTCATAACTGCTTTGGTAAGGCCTTAAGGTAAAAGTTTCGCATGTAACACGCTCACCTTGGAGTAAAAAAGTCCAACTTGTGTTTAGCCTTATTGCAGGGAAAACAAAATCTGTCACAATATCTCTCAATGTGTTACCACCTACAGTAATTCAGAGAACACAGACTGCTCTCCCCTACTGAACATGTTAAGATTAAAACACGGAAACACTTCGATTCCCCATAATGCTAGTGGCTATATCAGCATTTGTTTTATTCACCCAGGGTTAGGTTGACAAATGGTGATAAATGGGAATGCAACAAAAGGTGTGATTAAAAAAATTAATAAAACGTGAACAATGTTGTATTCTTAATTTTATTTAAAAGCTGTTGGCATGTCAAACCTGTTTCCCCCTCATTCAGTGATTGTTATATTCTCATTAACACTCTTTATTTTCTCGGCAACAATCACTATAAAACTGTATCCTCATTTGATTCACTGTAAGCAAGAACATTTCAAAAAGTATTGTGTTTAACGTCACACTCTACCATTAGGGAGACAGTGGGCACCATGTTCATAAATCTCAGTTTAAAAAGTATTTCTTTGTGTGTGTGTGTGCATGCAGGACTGGGCGAGGGACAACAGTTTTAGAGTAAAAAGCAGCACCATTCATTATAGTAACTAAATACTGTTAAAGTGTCATTTGCACCTGTTTTTTCCCTAGAACTACACAAGCAGATCAAAATGAGAACATAAGGCCAGATGCTGTGCAGAATGGAAACGTTCAGCTAAGAAATGCTCCCTTAAAACCAGACAGATGCTCTGTCAAATCAAATAATACCTCTTATTTACTATGAATACTAAATGATAACATAAACTGTGAATAGGGTCATATGATTTATAGTCTAAGTAGAAATAAAATTTTTAGAATCATATAGTTTTATTGGACTGGCATGAACACCGTTAAAAAAGGATACAAGGTGCAATTTCTACAACCTCTATATATTCATATATGAAATTCTGTAGTAAATTTTTCATCTCTGTTCTTGCAATTCAACTGCAACAATATCATGTGAGCATCATAAACTACATTTCCCTTGGAAATACAAACATGAATATTATAAGGTGCAAATGCATTGTTTAAAAAAGGCTGTGTAAGTCTTTTTTTTATAATTCATATTTGTTCTGCAGAGGAAATGTGGACAGGAGCTTGTCATTTACACATTTTCTTTTAAAAAGTCCTAAGGCTGAATGGTATTGCAGGTCTGGAAATGACTTAATGTGGGAATAATGGCCTGGGAATTCTTCATCCTTTTTTTCTTTTTTACCAGCAGCAATGGTTAACAGCCCCAGCACTCCTAGTTAAAATGCAGGCAAACAAAAATATATGTGGCAACATCAAAAGTGGCAAGCTGTTTGCTTTATTTTAAAAAGTCAACTATTAAGGATTTATTCTTTAAAAAAGAATGGAAAAAGCACAATATTAAATCAATATCCTTCACACAAAAAAAAACAGTCACATAATTTTGACTAACATAAGATAAAGATGGGGTTCTTTAGCCAAAAAACATTGCTGCTGGTTATAAGGAAAATGTTGCACTTTATTCCTTTGACTGCAAAACATGTGTTTAGGTATAGGAAAAATTTAAGAGGACCAAAAGAAAAAAAAAAGAAAGCAAAATAAAAGCTCTAAAAAAGTCTGATCCCTGTAGTTTAAGATACACTTGGCAAACGTATAATTTGTACAAATATTACCAAGCCCCTTAGCTAATAATTCTGGCTGACTTTTAAATGAAGAATGCCTTGTAAATCATTCAAAAAATGGTTTAGTCTTGGATCTTTAGTGAATTACAGACAGTTGGGGGTTCAAAAAGTGGCTTATGTATGCTTTCCTTTCATCATTCTTTACTAGTTTAAGTTATGCTGATAAAAAAATATTTTGTTAAAATCCCAGTGTAGTTCTAACAGGAAAGCCAGGGGAAGGCCAACATATAAAATGATTGAAGGACATGAGGGGCAGATGTTGTGCCACAACACGCTGGTGTCTAATGGAGATGGACCGCAGGAGCTAAGAATGATTGTGTGGACCTCAAAGCCGTGTTTGGGCCTCTGGGATGTAGATCTCAATGCTGTCCGCCCTCTCCGTGGCTGAGTTCTGTCTGAAAGAAGCTGCTCGTTTGGCAGCCATGAGGCGTCTTCGGGCTTCCTGACGCTGGCGATCCTGGAGGTCGAGGGAGCGCTCCCGCATCACGCCTCCACGTCCCCTCGATGGCCTCTTTGGCAGAGGCGGTGGCCACTTTTGATCCTTGAGACACATAAGCATCGATTAAATCTTAGAAAATAGTCTGTTTTTTTTCAAAAGGGAAATTACATGAATTATACAATAAAATAGAAGAAACATTAAAGCAAATGAAGATAGTGTAATCTGAGTGTAATCGTTTTGTTATTTTCTTTAATATGTTGCATTTGGAGTAAAGCCTTCCTTCTTGTAAAAAGGACCCCCATCTGTTGTTGGTAAAAGATTTAAGTCATAGTGAATAAAATCCTCTGTATTGTATCCATGCAGGAGTGGCAGCCTAGAGGTTAGGGCATAGATCTTGGAATCCTGAGGTTCTGAGTTCGAGCCCCATGCCCACGCACTGCTCCCCGGGAGCCCCACAACGGCAGCCCACTGCTACCCAAGGGGATGGGTTAAATGCAAAGGTTAATTTGCTCTGGAGTTGTTGCTCACAGTAAGGTAAGCACCACAAAACTGTTTCTTACATCTTTGTACCAGAACCTTAACTTAAACAGATCAACAAACACATATTGGCTAATTTATTTTATTTTTTTATTTTACAGAAGAAAGTATGTTTGGAGTGTTGTTGTTACGGTCACTGACCTCTAGGGGCTCTCTTCATGAGAGAGCTCTATGTTTGTGTTTCAGGTCTCCCTGGCTGTTACAGGTGCAATGCGTTGAAGCTCGTCAGCCACCTCATAAAGAGCTTCAATCCTGAGATGTCAGGCCCCTTCTCTTATTCACTGGGCCTTGATCTGAAGTGATCTTGTTCATGAGCTGAATGTCTCTGTGTGTGTTCATGTTAAACAATTGATTGACTAAAGTTTTGTTTTTCTGTTCACAGTGGAAGCTGGTAGGGGTTCTCTGCCATTTTTGTTGAACTGTTTTCTCCTTGTTTTGTGGTTAGCCAGGGAGTCCAGGTATTGTATTTCCTTTTCGTTTTCTATGTTAGAAAGTGTTTTGTTTTATAAGTAAGGGGGGGGGTTTGTTTGTTGTTTTGGCCTTGGAGACCCTGAGGCTTTAAGCTTCCCTGTTTTGCTGTTTGTTTTTTTTGTGACCCCTGCAAATTGTAAATAAATCATATTTTCCTGCTGACATCATCTTTTAGTTTACTGACTTTTGTGTTACACCCAGTGCCAGAATTTACCCTTTAGTGTTCTTAAGGGTGGGGGTTGTAACGGTTGTCGGAAAATAAATCCAGTCCTCAAGTGTGCACACTTTCAACTTAAAAGATGGAAATTACCTACAAAAAGCTTCTAGCCATGAAATATGGTTTAGCTTTTCCCAAAATGAATTTTGTCTATCTTGTTATTATTATGATGTTTATCAAATAACTTTTAAAGCTAAGTTGAAGTTATTCTTAATCTTGACAGATTTTGATTTTAATGATTTTCATTATGCCAAGATGTTTGAAATTAGACATAGTTTTATTATCTACAAAAAGATAATAAACAAATTGCAAAAAACGTTGAAACAAAGGTCTATCTATTTTAATTCAATCTTCGATATCATATTTCAAGCCGAACACTATTTAGCGCTTGCTAATAATCAAGGAAAATCTTTGTCAGCATTACAGCAACCCTTCTTTAAAATAATGACCAACTTTTTGTATGTTTCCACTGATATTTTCCCAATGTACCTTTTGCAGTGAGATTCATAGAGGTTGGAGGGCCTTACAGACTAATCACTAGCTACCTCCATAGATCATATATCTTATTTAAGTCATTCTGGAATAATAACATTATAACTTTATGGTATCTGCCAGGGTTTGAATATTTGTGGCGCAGCTCTATGTATATGAATAGTTAACAAAATATTGTGAAAAACTGAATTAATATGAACGTTTATTGGGATTACCTCTGAAAACAGCATTCTATCCAATGCCAAATTAACTTAATCTATTTTATTACTGCATATCAATTAGGTGTGGTTGAAACTACATAAATAAAAACACATTTCCATATGAAGATCATGAGAGACTTCTGAGGACAGGCTGAGTTTCTGTGATTGCAAGCTGGGGTTGTTTTAAACAGCGCCTGCCCTTATTTAGCAACGCCGGGCATGGAGCATCTGTGTCACTGTGAGGGTTCAGCTCTACTGAACTAACTATGTCCCTCAAACAGCTGGAGGGAACAGTGTGCTTATAGCAAAAAGTGTGGCATAAAGATAATTACCCAAGTGCCCATAATGATCTTATTGCTTCTAAACTCGCAGTCACTAATGAAATTGATGCCTCGCAGCTTTAGATCTGTCATGTGGAAGCACTATTTTTATAAATGTGCCTTAATGTAAACTGTGTGAAGAGTGCCTTACACTAAGTGACTGCTTATATAACCTCAGTGCTTCACATCTGCTCGTGAAGATTCGTACCTACCGGCTAATAATATCGTAACTCCACCTTGTTCCAAGAAAAAAGCGAAAATCACCTTTCATTTATAACCTTACAATAGTTACTGTAGTTAAATTCAGATTCATAGAGGTTTCATTCATTACAGAAAGGCTCAATATTTTACTCAAACATACAGAATTGTCTGATTTAAAGGTATAGAGGAAGATCTTTTATTTCTGGGTGGATCATCTACATAAGTGGTCCTCCTAACTGTCAATCATTCTGGTGATATGTTCACGTAAGGTCGTCCTATTCATCCATTTCAGGCGTATATCCGTGGTGAGCTACGTTTTCAGACACTCATTGAAGCTCACCTTTCTCACTGCGGTTTTTTGAAAATGGCCGGGGGTCGTAAGAGAAAAAGTGTCTACAAAGTGTATGAGAAGAAAAGAAAGGCCTCAGAAGAGGCAGATCTATCCCGGTAATGCTTTGCACGTAGAGCTCTCCTCTCAAAGCATTATGGGATTTGCTGTCACAGCGGCCCGCCGTCTTTACCCGACAGCGGCGACTAATAATAAATAAAGTGCATGCACTCCGCAGTGAAGGAGGAGTTACTTGACCAATGAAGCAAAAAGCAGTCATCATCTGTCCGCATGGTAAGTTAACTGATTTTGCTACAAAGTCCACTATATAGTCCTCGCTCTATCTAGTGATTGAGGGATTTAGGGGTTGGGTGGACGTTCGGACACAGTAAGCTTATATGAGCTATGAGAACAGCAACTTTTAATCACGGAGTGTATGAGGAGAAATGGGCTTGTGCTAGCTCTCTTAGTGGCATTTTTTCATGTTAAGAGGGTGGGTCTTTTAAACAAATTGCAAAAATCCTCCACAATCCCTTTAAACTACATTTCCAGGTCTAGATGGAACATAATCAGGCATAATGCTAAGAAATTATGTAACATTAATGAAACTAATATTAAGTTAGAGAAGAAATAATAAAGTAAAAATGCCTGTGCAAATTCCTGTCGAAACATCTTCAGGAAAACCTGATCTAAAGTCCATTTGCCTGAGTTTTAAGCTGTTTTATGGTCACTAAACAAAACTTCAAAGACTGGCTTTTGTTGATTTGTACAGATAAAACAAACATCCATGACTTTTAACCCCCCTGAGGAGTATGGAAAATGTTTAAAGGGCAGAAATCAGCTTTATGAGGTATTAAACGTTCAGTATACTGAGGGTGTGAAGCACAAATTAATAAAAGCTGGCAATTAGATTGTTTCTTTAAGTGGAGGAATATTTTTGAAACATTTCCCTGATATTAAAATATACTGTTTAGCCATACATTTCTTTTAAACAGAATTGGTCCATATATGTAGGAATATACGGCTCATGATCCCACAATCCTTTCTGCCCTCTGTTTAAGTTCATTTTTAGTTTATTTGTAAGTCTGTGTCTTTGTAGTTGTTTTCTGTTTGTGTTGTGTTTTTGAGTTACTCTCTGTTGCCCCCTAGTGCCTGTTTCCTTTCCCCTTGGCTTCCTTCTAGTTAGTTCTATTCACACCTGCTCTATATTAGCTCATTGGTCCATTCTTTGTTCTCATCTCTGCCTCCACCTCTCTGCATTTGGGTCCTCAACCAACCTCTACCAAACCTTGACAAAGCCATTGATTTCTTGACCTGTTTTTGTTTCTAAATAAAGTTGCTGTTGGAGACGGTTGTCACTGGATTACGAAGTAACTCTAAGCTTGTTTTCAATGGAAACAACAACCCAAAGCTGAGGGAAAAGGACAGAACATACTGTAGTTTAACCTGTGGCTACATTAGAGAGCGCCCAGTTTATCAATGGAACTGCTACTTTTGTTTGTGAGTACTACATTTCTGCAACAAAAAAGGTGTTTTACTGCGTGTTTTGCCTTAGTTTTATGTGTGTCTTTATTTTTGCCTTCGACTAATTTCTGTAGATCTTATCCTTAAATAATAATCAATTAATAGTCCCTCAAAAAGCTTGCTTTACCATCTTACCTACAGTAATAGGTACAAGCACTTCTAAAATGCCCAGTTGAATAGAATCAAAATCAGTATATTGTTTTACAACATTTTGGTCATCAACATAGCAGAAGTTACTATTTTTACTGGATTTTTCAATATTATTTTTTAACCAAAAAAACAAGAAATTATAACTTGAATTTGTTGATTGTTGCACAACATACTCATGAAATCAGGCACATTTTTGGCTATATTGAATACAGTTTAACATTTATAAAGTTGTACAATGCACATTTTACTAATATTTTTATGAACTTTTTCTGTTCCAATAGCTAAATGCCGAAGAACAGCATTGCTATCCCTATTATTGATATTAGTAAGGCTTGGCAGACTTGGCAGAGAACGCCATACAGTATGCTTCTGTCTCAAGCCAAGGCAAGGCAAGTTTATTTGTATAACATAATTCAGTTTCAGGACAAGTCAATGTGCTTTACATTAAATAAACAATGAAGCAGAAGAAGCATAAAAGCAGAATAAAATCCAATGAAGATAAAATCCCAATTAAATCAGGTAATAAAACATAAACAAAAACTGACCACGACTTTAAACTAATAATACCTCAGTTAGTTTAATAGTCAAAGTAGTTTCAAATAAGTGGAACATAGGGACTAAATGCTGCTTCTCCATGTTTGGTTCTGGATGTAGGCTTGAACTAGAAGACCTGAGTGATTTAAGACTGAAAGACTGCTGTTTAGAGAGACAATATGCTGAGCTTTATGGGGAGATCCAGTGAATTGTGTGAGCTGATACTAGAGCTTCACTCAGGGACCTAGAAGATGGAAGTCCAGTTGGATAACACAGGTTGAGAGAACCTGTCCATGATGAGCAAGCATGAAGCGAGAGTGGAGAGGAAAAGCTCCCCTTTGGGAAGAAACCTCTGGCAGACCCAGGCTTAACATGGCGGTCTTCTGCCAGACCGGTTAAGATGAGACAGGGAATGCAGTAAGATTCCGGGAGGAATGACACCCTGATGAAGCTTTAGCTACAATGGTGGAGGAGGGGCTGGAGGTGGATTGAAACGGTGTCATCTGAATTAAGTCACACAGTGCATCCACCGCCTGCGCACAGGAGCAGACAAGTGGATTGCAGGCCTTTTAAGATGAACTTTGGATGGTGATTGGCTTTTGTGGATGTGTGGTTCAAAGCTGATTGGCTGTGTCACAGGTGGATGTAGGAGAGCAATTACTTTCTTCAGTTGAACTTCCACCTAGGCTCCATATTGTATTGCCCTACATGTTATTGACCCGTTCTAGAACTATATATTTTCTTTATGTTTTTGACAATCTGGGTCTTTTCCTTTTTTTTTGCACATCCACAGGGGGTTGATGACTCATTGCTTATCTCAGATAAATCAGAATCAGAAACCCCTTTATTGCATATTTATCACCTATAAGTAATTTGCTTAGATGGTAAGACGCTACACATGGTTAAACATAAAGTTGGCAGCAATGTCCAGTATTATATATTACTAGAGTGGTACAAAACAGAGTGCAACTCCTTGGGGCAGGATCCCTGCTTCTGTCAGTGTGCCCCAGGGCAATTGTAGCAACAGTATAGGTTGCTACATCAGTTTTTGAATGTGTGCTAGTTTGATCTAATGACTAAATGTAGTGTAGATGACTTTGGAGTCTCCTAACTTGTAAAGTTGCTTTACAAAGACATGGTATTTACCAATTTGTAGAGTAAGAACACTGTGGCAAAAACTGACAACTTACAAAAGCAAAAAATATAAAATTGAATTAAATAGTATTTACAGTGATGCAAATGATCCTCAAGGGTGAGAGGGCAACCTGGGCCTTGCTAATGAGACTAGCTGCAGACAGTGGGAAGCTGATTTCTTGGCAAAGGGTTTTGGTCCTGCTGAATTTCAGCTTCCTACAGAGAGGAGAGTCTGAAACACTACGTCTATGGCTTCCGCTTGTTTACTCATTGTGCTTTGTCATGTGCAATATTGCACCTCGGGTCAAGTGGTCTTGTCATGGATAATATATACAAAGGGCTTTGTTTTCTAACAAATAGAGCAAGAAAAAAAAGCATGCAACACAGAAATGATATAAAATAAGCCAGCAGAGTGCCATAATTAAAGCTGAGAGGAAGAGATTTGTAAGGTAATACTGCATGATTAGGCTCCTTTAAGTATGATAGCAACTCCATTATGAATGGCTCCGAAAATGATTATGATTTTGAAGACCTTTATCATGTAAAAAATTGTAAGAATATATAAATAAAAATCATTAAAAGAACATTAACTAAAAATATATATATCAGGAGTTTTAGGTATTTCTTTGGTTTGGGAATTAATTTCCTCTCAGTACATACTTTAATTTACACTTAGGGTAAAGTAGTGTTTAAATGCAAAATGGAATGGTGTTTTAAGTTCTTCACATTTTAAAATCTTTTACAACAAAGTAATGAGGAGAGGAATTAATCTCATTGATTGTGCTGGTGGCTCTAATGGATAAAATAACTTTGCTATAAGCTATCTAAACCAAAACAGATGCTTCCATCTCCTTAATACCCTAACCTCCTGCCGGGGCCATGCCTAAAAATGAACACTGATGTTCTCCGTCCGTTTTTATTTTAAGCTGAGTATGCTCATCTGGAGCCCATTAAGACTAATTATTACACGAGTGTGGAGGGAAATTATACCTTCTTCTCGGAGCTTTCAACCAGCTGCCACTGGTTGCTCTTGATCTGCTCCAGCTCATCAAACTTGGCAGTGACGTCATCAATTGTAAGCTGTAAAAGGTCCCAGAATCCAGCCAGATCCTGAGATGTGGGTCGAGGCATGGCACTGGGGTCCTGGAAAGAATGTTTTTAAGGGTCAAAGTAAAATTTGTGTTTTGTAAAACCAAAATGACACGATTCTATCTCCTGATATGGTGCAAATGTTTCAATCATTGCCCCTTTGAAGATATCATTTCTGCTCCTAGTTGATATACTGATTATGACCACTGTGTGGCAGCATATTACCAGTAGTGGTTGAAAATCTCAGGACTTCAGATTATAATTTAAACATATGTAGGGACTGGCAAATGTGTAATTATTGAGTCTTAGCGGCTCATGAATTGTTCCTAAACATGGATATAAACCTGGAAGCAGATGGATTTTCCAAATCCACAATTAACCCAAAACTATTATTTTGACAAATAGAATTCTATCAGCAGCTTGTGTGGAGCTGGTTTGAAATACTTGGTACTAGTATTTGAGCAGCATTCTACTAAATGTTGAGGTTTAGATTTAATGTTTAACAAATATTCCTCCCTGAAAAAAGGAAATGTGTCTGGAACCATGTCTTAATGATTACATCCAAAACAAGTCAAAATTTCCATAACCTCTGAAGTTTTTTTTTTTTTTTTTTTTTTACTAGTCTAAAAATACTATTTTGTTTTGCTGCAAACAAATCTAAAGTAACAACAAGCAAAGGAAGGCAGACAGAAAAAAACAAATGATTGTTGTCTCAAACAGCACTGCACAAAAATCATGTAAAAATCAAGATGTGTTTCATTATTTCAAAGTCAGCAATACACAGTCTTTTAAAAACTCATCCTGCAGTTCTTCTACCATTAAACGGACGAAACAGACTCATCGGCTTCTCTTTGAAAAATTTCTAAAAGCTCAAGGCAATCTAAGGCTTGTCACTATCAATGTTAGATTTAATTCATCATCCTATTATATATGAGGAGAGTGAAACAGCAGGGTTATTTAAAGGAAAGCAACAGATCTGAAAAAAAAAAACACAAAGACAACAAGTCAGAGAGTAGAGCTGAACTACCTCCAGTATGTCTTTAAATTATCTAATTAAGTGTCTTATTCTCTTTTTCACTTTCTGCTTCTCCTTTATCTCCAGAAACATTTCACTTATTGAACTCCCATATTCTGATATCTGCTGACTCGGGGTATAGTAGCATCACAAAAGGTATGAGGTATGGGCAAAACGTGACAAGAGCGCTAAACAGTGAGGGTGATGCACTTCATTATTCAGATCCTGAGTTTCCATTCAACCTGCTGCCTCTGTGCATTAATGGATTGCCTCAACACAGGTGCAGCTTCCTATTGGAATTCCCCTTTCGTCAGCTAGGGGTCAATAGCAGCAGAGCGACTGCTCCGCCATTGATCTTTTTGGTCTATTTCTGGAAGGTGAACAAGCAACAGACCAACCACCTGCCCGAGGCCTAGAGAAAGGGAAATCTTTCTACATGCAAATATTGATCAAGTGTATAAAATAAATGCCATGAGGATATTTTGGTTTGAAAAATTACTCACCAGATTCTGTTGGCATAACCAGTAAAACTGCTGAAACTTTTGAGACATTAGTAGCTGGGCACTTCCAACTGCACTACGGATTTTTCCTAGGACTGGAACACACACACACACACACACATTTGGAAACTATTACTCACAGCTTGACAGACATTGAGCAATTATCTTTCAGTCATTCATAATAAATAATCAAGCAGAAAAAAGTTCTGTCACAACGTTTCTGCCAGTGTAACGGTTTAAGTCATAGCTAAATTGTTACTTTTACAAAAACAGTACATCCACAGAATGTCTAGAGTGGTCTTAAGTAATGGTATTCATTTTACCAAAATGATATAATGTATAAATAACAGTTTTAATAATTCAAAATCAAACAAATAAAAAAAAGGTCCAAAAGCTATAAATATTTATTTCTGGCTATGATGCTAAATAATAGGTTAAAGTCTGGTGAGATGGAGTTCTGGCATTGCCACAAGCTACTAGTTCTGTAATAGGACTGGGAAATGGCTTCTTCTTTCTCTGATACAAGCAGAAAAGAAAAAAAAATAAGGGTGAACATCATTTTCAGATTTTGAAGGGAAATAACTTTAGTTATATTCAAATAATGTTGGTGTTGCTATCTGACTTTTCCTATTTCTATATGTCCTTTATTTCTATGTATTTCACTAAAATATAAAAACATAAAACAGATCTGGTTATTTTTGCCTTTTTCTTCAAAACACATTCTTTGGCAAATGCCACTGGTAAAATTACTTTTATGGAAAATAAAAATATCAAAATATTGATGATGCTATATTGGGCAGAGAAGAATAAAAGGACAATGACAACTGGTCAGTAGAAAGCACCCTGGACCCTGATAGTGGGTCTTAAAATAATCCCCCATCATACGCAAAAGTAGTCATGTTAGTCGCCCAGCAGGCAATAGGGAAACGTCCCATTTGGATAATATTATTGTAATATGACAAAAGTGTAATAATAGTGACATCATGATAAATAAATTAATAGTTTTGATGACTTCAGTGTGAATCTACAATTTTCATAGTCATTAAAATAAAGTAAACTTTAAATGAGGTTTGTCCAAACTTTTGTTCTGTACTCTCTCTATATATATTTGTAATTAAATTTTTTGACGTTCAATATTTAAATGATTATTGTACAGTTTATATCCACTCATTGTTCTCAAGTGAAATTAAAATTTGTTTTGCGTCTATCAATTTATCTAAAATTTTAAGATTTTTCAACTTTTAAATTTACAGTTTTATTTTTAATACACTGTATAAAACCAAATTTTATTTTGAAAATATTGATGTTAAAGAGCAGAAAACCCTGCTCGACTCAGGACACTCACTCTCCTCTGACAGGTCATGCTCCTCTGCCTCTCTTTCCATCTCTTTGCACCACTCCTCCAGCCTCTTGGTTTCATTATGAAGAAGCTGCATGAACCAACCGCCATCCCTCCGGTGGGGGGACACTCGGCCTGAGTCAGTGCTCTCCAGGCTGGGTTCCACCAACCAGGGTTCAGGTTGTGGGCTGGGGGGCCCGCTGGAAGGCCGATAGTCCTCCCTGTAACTAAAAAGGCCCTGCGTGTGAACGGTTCGGATGGCTCCATACTGGGTTGGTGTGCTTGGCTCAGAGTGCCGGCCGAAGGCGCCACCGAACTGCAGGCCTTTGTCCTCCATGGAAGGAAAGCCTTCCAGCTCCAAGTCTGCTTGAACTGCAGTGGTCACACTGTTGGAACGCTTGAACCTTCCATGCCTAACATGAGATGGAAATTTAATATAATGTACCAACCTTAGACAAAAAACAAAACATGTAGTATGACACTTCCACCTGCACCACTTACCGCTTCCTGTCCTCCACCTGGATCCCGATAGAATGAAACTGAGGAAGGCCCTTACTTTCAGCCTCAGAGTCTGTCACAGTCTCCACCTAGGAAATAAAAACAGCAGTGTATAATGTATATGTTATGGATCAAGTTGCGGGAAAAGACTTTTGTTTAGATAGGAGTAAAAAATTGTTTCAGATTGTCATTAGGTTCAAAGAAAAGATCAGAATCATATGCTTTAAATTGTTCTTTCTATTAGAGCTATTGCATATGCTCTCTGTAGATATAGATCTTAAAATATTTCAAACTTGTGACCAGTTTTGCACTTCTTGAAAATTAAACATTTTCCTATTCATCTTTATAAAACGGCTAAAGCTCGATCAGAAAGGATAGTTCTAGCTTCAGCTGTTCACTGCAAAAACAATCCAGAAATAAGTAAAAAATGGCTTAAATTAAGTATATTTAGCCTTAATTTGAGCAGGTAAATAAGATGATTTGCCAATGGAATGAGTATTTTCACTCTTAAAATAAGATAGTTAGATAATATTTACTTGAAATAAGACGATAAAATAGTTTTTTCTTATTTTAAAAGGAAATTGTCTTGTTCCATTGGCAAAGTGTCTTACTTACCTCCTCAAATCAAGGAAAAACACACTTATTTTAAGAAAAAATAACTTATTGAGATTTATATTTTTTGCAGTGTTGGAGCTGAAGAAAAACACTATTATTATGAAAACCCCCCATTCCACACAGGGCTCGGTGTGCTCAGAGTGTGTTAAGGGGGATTTTTAGTTTACAAATATTAAGTATTAGCTGTGTTTATTTTGATATTTAAACAAGGGTAGACTTTTAAAGGTAAAAAGGTTGATTTTATTTAGGGTCATCATAGTTAAGGATGCTGAATGACAATTATCTCCGTTATTCATTTGTTTGTTGTTCTGTGCACATCATGCAAAATCTAAATAGGTTTGCAGTTCTAATATGACAAAGTATTAACGAAACATTGAAAAACTACTTTACCAAAGCACTATATGTTAAAATAGTAATTTGAGTTAGTATTATTGAAAGTGTAATGACAGCTACCAGTTTTCTTGTTACCTGTATACCAATAGAGGAACGTGGGGTTTTGAGATACTCCTCAGCCTTTGATACAAGGACGGCCTTGTCACATGTCTGGACAGAGGTGTGACTTCCCACCAACGCATGTCTCTTTCCCGCTGCTGTGTCCATGGCCATTGTGACCGCCTTGGTGCTGTCCAGGCTGTCTGTTGAGCTGTAGATGGGGCGGCCAAGGCTATCCGTGGTCCACAGACCACCTCGGGAATGCCTGCCATCCTGGTAGGCATCCTGGGTGGACTCTGTGCTGCTCTGGGCTGTCACAGAAATAAGAGGCTTGGTGGTGGTGCGAGGGGGCACAGGAGGTGGGGTCTTCTTATAACTGGGAGGGTATGAAACCGCTAGATACCAAAAGCAAGATGAGAGAAGGAGGGGGGGTGAGGCAAAGCGAGGGGAGAGGGTAAAAAAAAAAATGTGATAATGTAAAACATGGCCAAAGCTGATAAAGGCAAATGTTGCAGTTCATCAACATCACACAGAGTGAGATGGAAGAACTCTTTGCATGATGGGAAACTAGACATTGATTTAGCTGCTAAAGCAAAGGAAATGTCAGTAAGGTGGAAAGATAGCAGCTTTTCTTGGGAGATAAAAAATAAAGGATTATGAAAAAGATTAGAATTTTGTTGGAAAATGAAATTCCATTAAATCCTTTCAGGAGGGACCACAGAGACGAGTTTGAACACATAGCTTCTGCATTCTATTGGACAAAACATTGCTAAAAAAACTTTTTATGGTTTAAATGGTCTTTTTTTAGAGTTAAGTGGAAAAAAACACAAACATTACAAAAAATACTGTAATTAAGTCATTTATTCTTAAATTGAGCTGGTAAGTGAGACACTTTTAGTGACACATTATTTTCAAATATCTGTATTCTATGAAAAAAGACTGAACTACACTTTATATGTAGAAATAATGTTTTTTTACAGTGAATACAAAATTAAATTAACTATTGCTGAATCAGGTCGCTGTCTAATCAAATGAGCAGGCAATACAAGGTTTTTCTCCAAGTACAGCCAATTAATTTACAAAATTATCACTATCAAAGTTCTAGAGTTCCTAGGAATGATACATTAGTTGACTGTAACCAGTCTGTTCCTCATTGGATATTAATAAAGTACATTGTTCTGTAGTAGAATGGTTTCTTACAAAAATAAAACTCTTTAATAGTCGCTGGTGAAGATTCTCAGTCACCCAGGTCATAGTCATTCCAAAAAAGTTCAAAAACAATCCACTGGACTTTGTTTCCAAGTTTGAAGATGTTTCAATTCCCATACAGGAAGCTTTTTCAATTCAAAATGTCAGACATACCGTTGAGTTCAAGCTTTTATAGAGTAGACCAAAAACAAAGCCTTGTTTTGGCTTAGAAAACATGCAAATTGAACCGGATGAACCAGTCTGCCCCTTTGGAATGGGCAGTCATTTTTTCTTTGTTAGCCTGCAATCCCCCATACCTGTCTTTGTCTCTAATAGGGGTGTCGTTAGAGGAGATTGCTGACTTGGCTGAACAGGGAGGTGCTCTGCTCCTGTACCGCCAAGTCTTGTCCCGAGAAAAGCTACTTCCTTGGGACAAGACTCGGCAGTACATCTACACCTTATGGGCAAAGGACATTCTTTTGAAGACAAGACTGTTTACATTTTGAACAATGAAGAGAGGCGGTCTGAGAGGGGGGTAAAGGAAGCCATCTTTGTTAACAAAGAAAACCCAACCTTAAACAGAGGGGTTGGACTTAGCTTTCAAAACCCTACAATACAGCAATACAGTTGATTCCTTCCTGGATGGGAAGCGAAATGTCTTTAAAATTGGAAACAAAGTCCAGTGGATTGTTTTTTAACTTTTCTGGAATCTTTAATGGTCAGGTAAATAAAGTTGCCTTTAAAGCACTATAAATAAGGCCATATTTCTCATGATACAGTAAAATAAGGCTTTCTTTGCACCTTGACATCCAAAATAAAGCTCAAAATTAATTACTTGAAATGGTTTCAGATGTTCTTTTTGAGGTGTATTTTTTGTCTTATTTGTGTTTGTTAGTTTCCTTGAAAAATGGTGCAAGTTAAACACAAAAAACGAATTGCCTCAAGACTTTGGCACAATCTGAATACTTCTAATCAGCAAAGATACCTAAGCTATGGTTGAAGTGTGTCGTTATAAAAAGTGCTATCTAAATAGCGCTTGCAGTAAACAGGAGCTAAAAAGAGGAAGGGGTATTTTTCCTGGCACTAATTTATGTTGTATATGGAGCTCCTGACATTCCACATTGCATACAATTCTTTGTGTAACAGTAAATATCTGCACAGCTCTCTTCAGAGTAAAAAAAAATACATTATTTACCCTGTTTGAAAAATGTGAATGTACACATCTTTGTATGTTTTGGGTTTCGAAACGGAGTTTGGTTTTATAAGGGAGAAATTCAGATGTCTGCTACATTTGTGTATTTTATTCATTTTTTTGTATTTCTTTAACAAAAAGCGATACTCCCAATTTGATCAGCATCATTCCTGTGTTTGCTTGTCTTGTCCTGATGTTTGTAATAATTAAGGCTTTTATGATTCAGCACAGCAGTCTGGAATTGTTTTCCTACCCTCTATTATGTTCTCATTGTTGGCCAATGAGCTGTTGACCAGAGCTGACGCATGGATGCTAAATGTTATTAGCAGCTATGTAGTAAGAAACCAAGGGTAGATAGACAAGCAGCCAATGAGAGACAGAAATTGGCAAAAAAAATGTAAGGTCAGTTTAAACTACATTTTAAAGTAACCCCTGTGCAGTGGGTGCACTGCAAAATGGGATTGGGAATTCACAAATGCAAGTCCTTGAAGCTGCAACATCCAAGCACAACTCCACTGCATGCTCATTCGTTATCTGCAAGTGGCTTTTATGTTACTTTTTTTTTCCCTACTTGCTTTGATTCTGTTTTATCTTCCTGTATTTTAATCATGTAAAGCACTTTGCATTGTCTTTGTACTGAATTGTGCTATACAAATAAATTTGCCTTGCCTTGCCTTGAAACACCCCATTATCAGTGGCGGCTTGATAAATACATAAAAAAACATTTAATTAAGATCAAATTAATAAATTAAAGTATTTCAAAGTATATTGATATATATTTCTTAGATGTGCAAGATGAATATTTAGTCTTTAATGATGATTAAAGCTGTTTTTCATTTTTCGTCGATTGGTGAGGTATTTCTGCCCAAGGGCACCAAAATCTTTGCACATTGACTCTCGTTAAAAGTTGTACATGCGCAGTAGCTCCTCTGCAAAGTAAAAGGATAGGGGAACTCGGGGCACACATTAGGTGGCAAGAACTGTTGTCATAGTTGTAGTGCGGGTGATTGACAGGTCGAGTTGTGGAAGTGAAATCCCTTAAAAAACGTACCAAGAGAAGCTGGAGGTGAAATTGTTTGGACCTGATCAGCTAAAAATCAAAATGAATCAGCAGCCAAAAGACAGAAGGAACGGTACACTTGGTCTTTTTTCCAGGACCTGGTTTAGCTACAAGGCTTGGCTAACTGCATTCAGTAAGGCTGACGCTTTATTCTGCTTTCCCGCCTCCTTTTTCAAAGGACAGGATCTGACCCAGCATGAACAAATACAAGCAGGACTGATTGAAAGCACTCTTTAGAAAAGGGAAAAAAGCTTGAACAATCTGGGATTCACATGGAAAATAATATAATATAGTGTACTTTTTCTAGATGTTTTCTAATTTGCATCGTTGCTCTTAAATAAACACATTCTCAGAAAATAGTCTTTAAATATTAAAAAATATAAAGCTGACTATGGCTTCTCAATTATTAAACTTTCTTAGGTATGTGACACCATATTGGATCATGCAAAACACAAATTTGCCTTCAAAACGCCTCAGAAGGGCAAGATTTATGTACAAAAAGTAAAAATGTACATGAAATTATGTATTTTTTAAAATGTTTCTTGTTGTTGGCATTCATATAAATATACTGGTGTGATAGCCTAGTTTATGTTTGACTGGTTTTTGATATAGGTCTATTTTGAATTTATAGCCCCACCCCCGAGAAAACTCCACCAGCCGCCACTGTCCATAACCTTGATCTGTGATTGATGGCTAATATTATGTGCTTGCTGATCAAGAAGAGTATTGACATTAATTGTTGTGACTACCTGGCAAGAAGAAGAGAACATCAACAATGCAGCATTTACTAAACATCATTGAAGATAAAAGCATGCCAAAATGTAGTATTGAATAAAATGTTTATTTATTGTTGTGATTCTACCTTAATCTATGAGATACTGTACTAATAGTTTAACAGTAGTTATTAGTAGAGTTGTCTTTTTTGGCTTTAACTTTTTACACTGGTGCCCAGCTTCCAAGGTTCTCATTAGCCTTAATTTTCTATAATTGTTATACTTGTAAATAACCCACTTTCAAAATCAGTTTCCTAATCTGTAGAACCAATAAACAAGTTTTTGATTATTCTATTAAGCTAAAAAGCTTTTATGTGATGCAACCTTGGGCCTTTCATGTATGCATAAATAGTGCTTTGGGCAAAGTGTGTTATCTAATAATCGGCATAAGTGAAGTTGGCTAACACAGGAATGTTAGTTTTCCTTTCCTGCTCAAGTGCCCACTGTATAAGCTGAGCTGTTGCTAAACACATATTATGTGCACACACCAAGGAGACTTCAGATTAAATGAACTCTTTGAACTAAAACTTGTCATAGATTTGACTTCATTCCAACGCAAAGGGGCTGGAGTTCTGTTAGACACAGCAGGTGGGTACCAGAATATAATGAACACAATGACTCAGAGGGTACAGTAACTCCACGCTTTCTATTATTACACACTGGTACTGACTGACTTACTTCCTAAATTGAAATCTTTAAACTGTTCAACACGAGCATAGAATTCAGTAATATTAATGTCAGGCTTTAATAATTTTAGCATGTTGGGAATTTTTATATAACACTATTCTTTAAAATCAGTTTACCCTTTTATTTCTAATCTTAAAAAACAAACAAATGAAGCCCTTTATTAGTAGTGATTATCCTTATAATGGCTGCACAGACATGTTAAATACCAAGCCCAGTTGAAAAGCAGATGGAGAGGTCTTGAATTTAAGAAAAGGATTTAAACAAAAAATGCTTGAAATGAAACAGAAGATGTTGCACTGGAGGAAAAGTTAAAGTGAAAACTGTTTAAGTAGAACATTTGGTTTAAGAGTTGGAGAGGGGTAAGAAAGACAAACTTAGACTTATTTCACATTTAGGAAGATTACAGATATTGAAAGACAGGTGTTGAAAATAACTAACAAAAACATGGTGTAGAGTGAGGGAAAAGACAAACAGCTAAGTTAACAGATACATGTA